GTCTGGTGCCCTCTTCTGGCCAGCAGACATACACACAGACAGAATATTGTATACATAATAAATAAATAAATAAATATTTTAAAAAAAAACATAAATACGTAAGTAAATGGTCAGGCTTGGTAGCACACACCTTTAATCTAGCACTCTAGAGGTAGACAGAGTTCAAGGCTGACCTGGTCTACAGAATGAGTTCCAGAACAGTCAGGGAAATACAGAGAAACCTTGTCAAAAGAAAGGAAGGAAGGCAGGAAGAAAAAGAAGGAGGAAGAAAGAAAGGGAGAGAGGGAGGGAGAGAGGGAGGGAGACAGGAGGGAGGGAGGAAAGGGGAAAGAGAAAGGAGAGAGGGGAGAATGATGTCCTATCTTCAACCATAGTTTTATTATCAAATTCTCGTGGGTACCCCAAGAGTGATGGCAATAGGGGTTCTAGGCCCTCCTAACAGACAACTCAGCTGCGGGTGGTCAAATAATTGCACACTGGGCTTTCTGTTTGATAAGCTTTGGGAGGACCATTACTCCTGTGTATAGAGTAACTCCAATTCATTTTTTAATATAGAGAGTTTAAGAAATACTAGGTTTCCATATTGCTTTTTCAAACATCATTAGTGTTATTTATTTTCCCTTCACCTCTCCTCTGCCTTACTCTCCTATCTCCCTCCCTTAATAATCTCCCCATTATTCCCCTCCCCCCTATTATTCTACCTGGAAAGATATGTCTATTAGTGCAATGGTGGCATGGCTATTATAGGTGTAGCCAACTGCTCCACAGGCGGGAACTCACATCTGGTACTTAAACCTGACCCCATGGCTGGAGGGGTCATAGGCCCTTCTGAAGGCGTTCCTCATACTCATCAGAGAAGTTTCTCTGTATAGAGACAACCAAGGAAAGAGAGGGGAATGTATGAGACTATGGAGGCCTAAGTCCTAAACTTGACATCTCTATCACACCCCTTACCCTTTCTCAAGGCTCAAGGAACATCTAAGAGGAGAGGCAGGAAGACTACAAGAAGCGGAGCCAAGCTACTGTGACTGTACCATGACTGTACCCATGAACTCAGCAGCAGCTGCCATTGCTGACACAAGATCTGCACAGGATCAAGCCAATCAGGACTCCGCCCCCTGCACCGACCCTTAAGGGCTGACTGCTCCACATGGGAGAGTGTTTTCTTCAGTAGCCCACAGTCATTGCCCCATGCTCCAGGAATACATCCATGAGCATCTGGGTGGCTCTGAGACTCAGTGGGGTTCTGTTGTTGTTTGGTTGATTTCTGGCAGAAAGTGGGGGGGGGGAGGCAGCCTGCGAGGAGTGGGAGCAGAGAATATTGTTGTATATGATCTAACTACATTGTATGCACATATGAAATTATCAAAGAATAAATCGAGGAGTGGGAGCAGAGAATGTTGTTGTATATGATCTAACTACATTGTATGCACATAGAAAATTATCAAAGAATAAATCTTAAAATATGGCTTTAAAACCTTTGCTCATGAGCTGGAGAGTTGAATCAGGAGTCAGGGAGCATGGGTTACTCTTGCAGAAGGCAAGGGTTCAATTCCCTGCACCCACGTGCTGTCTATAATTTCACTCACAGAGGATATGATGCCCTCTTCTGGCTTCCTGAGGCTCCAGGTACACAAGTGCTGCACACACACACACACACACACACACACACACACACACACATTTATAAACTAGAACCTTCATTCGGGTTACTTTGCAGCGCTGTCTTTATTTTCCTACAAGCAGTTTTAAGAGAGTCAAAACACGTGCCTGAAGATATTATGTAATTAGAAGACTCTTCCAGCAGCAGAAGGCACTTTTCCCTCAAACTAGTGAGGAACTGCACTATTTTTGAATCCTGTCTCTTCTCAAGACAGCATTATATGCTCTATGCCAGAAAGCATTTGGTAAAAAAAAGCAAATAAAAAGTTGCCTGTTCATTAACTTTCACAGCGGCACCAAAGAATAGAAACCTAACAGAACCTATGTCTGAGGGAAGATGAGACCCCTCTAACAGTCCCTAGAAGGTCCTGAGAGCCGCACACAAGCAACCGGTAACCTCCATGTGTTTACCCTGTGCAGGGGGTAGGCCGTTTAGCTGGTCGCAGAAGCAGGTCTCTGAAGGCAACAACTTTGAGCAGAAAACAAATGCGCGGAGGAAAGTGCAGTTAATTTAACATTTTGTACACACTGATCAATAGTCCACAAGCACGTGTACTTGGACCAGAGGAAAAAGAAGGATTTGCCCATTTCCCTTGGGTCTGTGGCCTTGGTCCTTGTCATGGCAATGCTCACATCAATCATGTGCATTCACTCGGGACATAGTCATGTCTGTCTGTCTGTCTCTCCACCCCCCATCTCGTGTGTGTATTAAAAGATCCTATCCTATAGGAAGCTCCTTAAGTAGAAAGGAAAATAAAACAGCTTCAAGAAGTCCCTGAAACTGACTAGATTCACTAGGTTTCTCCCTACCAGAGTAAACAAGTCAAGAGGCAAAGAAGGCGAAGACCAGACAAGCTGCCTGGAAGAGGTTTAGACCAACTGAGTCACATGGGAAGAACACTCTCCAAACTGTTGAGCTGCTTGCAGGCTGTGCAGTGTGCACCAGGTTCACAGCTTTTGTAAGCTGTCACCTGTTGAAATAAGAACGGCGGGGCTGCGTCCCCAACACCCCGGCCGCTTGGCTAGCTCATGCCCGAAATAACAACACACAAACTGTATTCATTTAAGAACTGCTTGGCCCATGAACTCTAGCCCTTACAGGCTAATTCTCGCACCTGGACTAGCCCATTTCTAGTAATGTGTGTAAGCACCCCAAGGTGCGCTTACCGGGAAGATTCTAGCCT